CGCCTCCCCAGCACTCCTCAAACCAGCCAGTCCCAAGGGCCTACTGCTGCCACCATCCCTGCACACACAGAGGAGCGTGGGCTGTAGTGGAGTGGGCACATGTGGCAGCGCTTCCCCCTTCCCCTTCAGCGGGGCACATCACAGCCCCTGGCCCAAATGTGTCTCTGCAAACCTCTCCTTTGCCCCACCATAGTTTTGCATCATTTCACAGCCTACATGTTGGGACCCTCCACTTAGATTCCCAAAGCATGAAACCTGCCAGTAAACCTGAGGAAAAGGAAAAGCCAGATCCCAGGCTGGAAATAAGGGAAGCACCAGCTGGAGAACTGACCTGCCACCTCAGAGACCTCCCCTGGGATACCCTGGCTGCAGTTTAAATACAAACTTTTTATATAAGAGTAATCTCTCTTGGAAAAAGTACCACTTTTATGATAATATGATTACATGCAAGTTGGGAATTGACGGGATGGTGTTGGTACAACCATTTCCCCTATCCTTTGCCCTCACCAACTTCTCTTCACTGGTCGAGGGAGAACATGTGGGCAGACACTCGTTGTTCCTGCTGGCGCTGCCAGGTCTCAGCATGCCTTCAGCTGCTCTTTGCCCACAGAGAGCTGCCAAGATGCTCTCCCTGTCTATTTCCTCGATTGTTTTTTTTTGAAGTGAGGAGAGGGCTGTGATTCTGTACCAAGCTGGGATGAGTGTGGGGTGGGACTTCTGGCAGGTCCCCAAAGTGCCCCCTTCCTTCTCTCCACTGCTGCTTGCTAGCTAAGCTTCTTAATGAAATCTCCTGGGTTTTGAGTTTACTTATGCACCAGGATTGTTATTCCCCACATACCCCCACCGAACTGACCACAGAGCCAGTTAGCATCTTACAGACACAGAAAAGGGCTATGCAGGGAAAATGTGGTTAGTGGTTGGCTGCATTGCCACCTCCAACCCTGTGTGCCCTTCTGAGCCTGCTGCAGCCCAGTTGGCCCTCTCCACTTGGGGGTACCCCTTTCCACACCAGTCCTGCCCCATGTGCCTTGCCTTTGCAGCAGGGCTTGAGCAGCTTTGGTGGCACATGAGTGCAGCAGGGAGTGCGGACCATCTTGCAGGACTGTCTCCTGTGCTCTGCGGGGCAAAAGCTGTTACTGCATTTAATGTTAAGCCTGGGGTAATCAAAAGCCTGATGCAGTTTTTCTCTACCTGCCTGGTTTCATGACAGGGCTTGAACAGGAGGGCAGCCCTGGCTGCTGGCGTGAGGTACGTGCTTTCCTACACTTCTTACTTACTTTTCGTTTGTGTGTCTGCTACTTTCCAGTGAGCAAATGATTGAGCAATCCCACAGACTGGGTGAAGGTGTCAGTCTCAATGTGCTCCTCAGTGCCTTGGTGTTGTCATCCATGGGCTTGTCAGCTTACGCAGTCAGAATAACCAATGTGAGAGTTGTCACCAACTTGATTAAAAGTCACAACGGTTTTACAGCAGGGTGTTCTCCTGTATTTCCACACAGCTATTGAGATCTTGTTTCACACTTTTCTGCACAAAAATCAGGCCTAGAAACTTTCCATCTTTCCTAAATGTTGAGTTTCTCATGTAATCACATCACTCTGGGAGATGAAACATGAGGAAAATCCCTTTTTCCTGGCATCCCATCCGTGACCTTCCTGCCCCTACAACCTTCATCCCTCCCAGGCTGTCCCCCCCAGGGAGGGACCTGCCCAGTGCCAGTTTGGAGATGGCCTGACCCCAGTCACCCCACGGGGCTTATTTTTCCTATCTGCCTCTTGAATCTGTCAGGTGCCTTCTTCATCCCCTACCTCATCTTTCTCTTCACCTGCGGGATCCCGGTCTTCTTCCTGGAGACAGCGCTGGGGCAGTACACCAGCCAGGGAGGGGTGACAGCCTGGCGCAGGATCTGCCCCCTTTTTGAAGGTGAGTGGGGTCAGCCAAGGAGGGCATGCCAAACTGGGGGGGGACTGAGTGGCCCTGGGGGGGCAGGCAGTATTTCTTCTCTGCACAGCCTGGATCGTTACTTACCTCCATGCTTCTGCCACCCACCCCTGGAGATCCCAGCTTGGGAAGGCCATGGGCTGCCCCCTTTCTAAAAATGACGCTGGAAAAATTGATCGCCTTTCTCACCAAACAGTTCCCATCATTATGTTGCATCCTGATTTCCTTCTTCATGGCCTCAGCCCTGGCCAGGAGATTTGCTCCCAATCAAGGTTGTCCTCCAAGACCTAAATGATGAAAATGTTTCTGGTGGTTATGAGGAACCTAAAACATACTACTATTTTTTTTAAGTCAATGCTATGCCATTTTCCTGAGTTTGCAGATGGCTTAAAACCTCAGTGGTGAAAGATATTAGCTGTCTTAATAAATTGTTAGCAGTCAGATACACTTCTAATACTTGTTTCAGTACAGTCATCCAGCCTCAAGCCATTTTCCATGATTTCTCTGAAAGTGTCAGTTGCTTCTTCCCGAGGTATCAAAACCTTTAGATGCTCCTCCAGCACCTCCCAGGGAAAGCATGTGGTGTTAATACAAAAGCTTCCCAAAGAAAAGTGAAAAGGGATGAGTGAATAAAAGGTGAATTTTGGTAGAAGAGGCATTATTCAGCAGATGGAGAGCCGTCATATGTTTCTGTCTTTTTGGGTGGCTTTCCAACCATAGTCTGCCTGTCCCCTGCCCAGACTCCCTCCCATTGCCACCCTTTCACCAGGGAAGGCTGCGGTGGGGTAGCAGAAAGAGGGGGTCCCTGAGGCCTCTGTTTGGACCCCTGCTGGTGCAGCGTGGTGGGCTTTGGAGAGGAGATGATGGCTCCGGTGGCCACCCCACTGGCACTCAACTGGTAGCACGGTCGAAATGCAGAGCAGCAGCAGATGAAAAAGTTGGGTGTGCACCTCCCAAAGGGAAGTCCTGTTCCCATCCCCCAGCGCGTGTGTCACCCGCCTTTGGGGTTTGCTTTCTGCAGGAATTGGCTATGCCTCACAGGTCATTGTCGTGCTGCTGAACTTCTACTACATCATTGTCCTGGCCTGGGCCTTGTTTTATCTCTTCAGTTCATTCACCATTGACCTCCCCTGGGGCAGCTGTGACCATGAGTGGAACACAGGTGGGTGTGGAGCCCCCTTCCAATCCTCCACTGGATCCTGGCTGAGGGAAACCTGCTGCTGCCCAGCGCCAAATCTCAGGAGAATGGCTTGCCCCTGCGTGGGTGGGACTGCTGGTCACAGGGGTGGGGAGTGCCGGGTCACTGCAGTTCTGCTGGCACTTTTGGGGAAGAGGGTCAGTTGATCTGGGTCTTTGCTAGAGAGCACCAGTGCTGGTACTGGCCAACCACTTGCAGCTCCTGGCCGGTGCTGTGCAGTGGTGGTCCCCCTGGCAGCTCCTGCTCTTGGCTCCAGCCACTGTGGGCGCCTTCCTTCTTGGCATCTTCCAGTCATCCTGTGCTGTGCATTATCTGTAGACCCAGTGCTGGTTGGGACTGCTTACCGTGTCCACTAGAAGGAAAAACTAAATGCCATTGTTTTAATTGTCCTAGGTTTCTTGCCAACCTTACCATGGAGGGGACTCCTTTTGTGCATCTTTGGGACTATTCAAAATTTGTCTCAGAGTAAATGACAATGAGTGTTAACACTGTGGATGTAAAGGAAGGGATTTTTCAGATCCTCCAGTGCTCCAGACACTGCTACTTACACTCTCTCTCTCCCTGGGCCTCTCCTGCAGGGAACTGCATGGAGTTCCAGAAGGCGAACTCAACGCTCAACGTGACCAGCGAAAACATCACCTCCCCTGTCATCGAGTTCTGGGAGTAAGTAAAGGACAGACCTTTCCCTTTTCTCTGGGACATACCTTCCCTGGGCAAGGAACAAACCCTGCAGCGGCACATCCTATTAACCCATCCTTGCCAGAAGAGGACACAGGAGAGGAAGCTGGGCAGGTCAGAGTGAAGGCTCTCAGGGGCAGCATCATCAGTCAAGGGTAACATCACTGGGCTTATGGTGCTTGTCTGGAACTGTGCTGGCATGCCTCAGAGCCATCTGACTTTGTCCTTCTCTGATGCTGTATTCCTATTCCTCTGGACCTTTGGGCTTCTTGGTCTCACGGATCTCAGCGATGCCTAACTGACTGTGCAAGACCTTACTTCGCTGGTGCTTCACCTCCTATGGTTCCTGATATTTCATTTATTGTCCTTTTCTCTCTTATTCCTCCTCTGCTGTTGCACTCTCCCTTGCTCCATTTGTGCTGTTCTTCTCCCTACCTCTACCCTTGTTCTTCATTGCCAGCTGTGAACTTCCTTATATGGTTGTTTCCTCCCGCAATGTAGGTGAATTGGCTTCATGTTCCCCGTCCTGAAGCTTTGATGCAGGTTTTCTCAGGGTGCAAACCTCAATAAAATTAGTGACAGTCCTTCAGCGTATAGTGGTCGTTACCCTACAGTTCAGATTACAGTTTCTACATCTGCTGGATTATCCATTGCTCTTGTTCGGTTCAGAGCAGTCTGCCCCATGCAGTCCTCAACCTGCCTAGTGGCTGCATCCAGTGAACTCATGCTCAGGACGCGGGTGTCAAGACTACAGGTGGGAGTGGGATGAGATCTGTGAAGATCCACAAAGCAGCAGCTCTACAATGGGTTTTTGTATGCATATTTTGCCAGCTGTAGCAGGTTCAGCTGTTGAAGACGAGACCTTAAAGCCCTGTGATGTACTGCAGGAATCCTTGCTGGTGATGCAGTAGGTGATCTCTTCCCTTTGAATCTGTGCTACTGTGTGATACCAGCATGTTCCCAGGAGGCTCTGGTATAGTAGGTGGTTGACTTTGTATGTGGGCTAGTCTTCATCTTAAAAGTAGAAAAAGAGGTGATGTTTTCACTTTAGAGTGAATAGTATGCAAGCTATCCCAAGGAGAGAAAGTCACGAATATTGAAATAAAGTATTAGGATAGGGTCGGCTTACCTCATGTTGAAATGTGTTCCCTCATTGTCATTGTTTTCTCATCCTGTATTAGTTATCCTGAGGTAAACTAATGCCTTCATGCGTTTTGGCACGAAGGCACAGGCACGTTGGCTTGGGATCTCTAATGATCCTCAGCATCTCCTGGGAAAACAGGCCCAGTTACACACTGGGCACTGGCTAATAGACTGTGCAAGTAACACCTCTGCTGCCACCGTGAATTTCCCTTGTGTGTTTAGATGGATGGAGGGCTCTGCCCTCAGCAGTGCTGCTGAGTGCTGTCAGTGCACGGAGCACACAATGCCTCCAGGGCATCCCTGGCTCTGCACAGGGATGCTGTTTTTAAACTTTAAAGCTCTTAAATTTTCCTTGTCTTCTGTGTGCTCCATGAGCCTGTATTCTCCTTCTGCCTGCTGCTCATATGTGATTAGATAGTGGCCTGCCTTAGAGTGCTTTTCCTGAGGCTGGCTGCTGGAAACTTGATGTTCCCACCACTGCTGTGACCATCCCTGTGTTACTGGGCAATAAGCACACGGGACTGGAAATTTCCACTGCCCATTGCTTCTGATGCAGCATCTGTTCCTGCCCTCCATGGGCGGGGAGGTAGGAGGCCACCGTTTCATCGAGAAGCGCTGACCTGCCAGTGGGCTGATGGCACACTTCTGAGGCCTCTTCTGGCTGCAGTACAGTGCCCAGTTAGTTACGGTCCACTGGTACCCTTTCCCCTCTGGTTACAGAGTCCATGTCCTTAGAAGCAGGCAAACAGCAACGTGACGAAATGTATCTGGTGGAGCACTGTGATTTTTCCGACCTCTCTCTCATCCTCTCAATCAGCCATGAGGCTGTGGTGCAGGACAGGAGGCAGTGTGTGTTAGATTGCGATTCCCTGGGAATGTGACTTTTTTTGGGGGGGG